GTAGCCTAGGTCGATCAAGGAATGAGCTGGGTCCCGTGGAAGAGGGACTGGGCCCGGCTGGGGATAGACTGGGGGGCCCTGTGGTGGCACCTGATGACATAGTGGGGGCACCAGATTGTACTGTGGCGGTGCCGGGCAGTACTGTGGCTGGGGCATCGGTTCACACTACGGCGGTGGTGCCGGGTGGTACTGTGGTAGAGCAGGCTCGTGCCGGGGTGGCTCGGGATCCGCTTGCTGTAGCGGTGGCTCAACCCGTGGTAGTGGGGGAGGTTCGGGTAACTCCCTTCTCTCCTCTCGACCTTGCTGGGCGGCCATGATCCTTTCCAGCATCTCAAATATTCTGTCCACATCTTTTCGAAGCGAATCATCCCGGGTTGCTCGGTTTAGTGGGGGTTTTCCTCTCCTCATTTCTCTGCACCTGCATTTCATAAGGAAGAGTTGAGTAACGATTTATCGGTGGGTATTTCTCTAAGCATTATTGTGTAAGGAATGAGTCTGAGGAACGCGGCTCTGATACCAACTGTAACGACCCCGGAAATAAAAATGAAATGTATGTATTAAAAAGTTCTAAGTACGGAAGCGAAATAAAAATTATGATTAACATCCTTTACACAATACTAAAAACGTATTCAACGTATGAAAGAATAAACTAACTAAGGTAAATATTAATAATGAATGCTATAAATAAAACTATGAAATCCTTATACGTCTACTCGCCATCTTCCTGCGGGACGGGCTCGGGAACCCCTGATCTGAAATGGTTAAATAAGGAATGAGCTACACTAGCCCAGTAAAGACATCACACTATCTCACTATCACAGAAGTAAAGGTTGGTAGAAAACAAAAACGACCAATAGAGCATAATTCATGATAAATTCATTTATCAATAATAAAACTATTTACTGTCCACTTACCTCGGTGAGCTTCATGAAAACAACATAAGAAAACAATAACATTATAATATCATAAAATCATACACACTTTATAACATAACACATATCATACTCTTGCATTTCAATCATCAGACAACAAATTTTCCTCTTTTATCAGCCTGCTAGTATCCATTGGGATCCATAGGGATCCCCGCTACACGTGAACCATTCACATTGATAACTTGATTCAGGGTTGTCCCCATACCCCGTCCGATATGGGCACTAAAAATCATAAACCTCAATACCCCATCCGGTATGAGGGTAAAACGGGCCGTCCCCATACCCTGTCCGATATGGGCGCCAAAACACATAAGGTCTCCAAACCCCGTCCGATATGAGAGACCACGTTCCTGGTAGGATTCCCTACGGACCCAGTCCGTCCACCATCTCCTAGGATACATAGTTAGGCTGTCGACATCATCTATTTATCAATTCACATACCTTTTTCTATTTTTCTTGGTCTCAATTATTCAATCAAACATAAACACGTAAACCAATAATAAACACCAAATAAGGCAACACAACATCGGGTTCATAATAATTCAAACCATAATGAATGAAACTGTGATTCATGCATACGAAACCACAGAATAAGCACATCAGATACCATACTGCATTTAAAACTGTAAAATAGATGAAACAACAACTGACCGAAAAATACATCAGATTCGGGCTCCATTAGCAACCTTAATTAATTATACACAATTCATGAAATACTGTTTTATCATTTATTGAGCTTTAATACCGTGATAGAAAATAGGGTGAGAAATCCTTACTTGTTTCGAAGTCTGAAATCGGTTTTACACTGCGCCTACAGGCAGTCCCTAAATTCTCTAAATTTTTTTTCGGGAACTGAAACACACTTTCGGTACCTACACGTATCCCAAAAAAACTCAAAATCAGATCCAGGGCCTACACGGCCAATTTTAAAATTTCGGCACGGCGGCTCCGCCGTGCTCCGACGACAGCACCGCCGCCCGTGGAGGCGATCCGCCTCGGGTTGGCCCTTTTCGGCCGTTTTCGGCCAAACTTGCATTGGTTCATGCGATAAAACAACCCTAGGGCCCTCGGTGGGCTAAAAAATCATGAAAAACTGAGACTTACTGGCGGCGGAGCTCTCGAGTGCAGCGGCTTCTTTGGCGCGAGTCGCGATTTGATATTTTGCTCCAGTCAACCTGTAGAGAAAAGGACGGTGATCACAGTAGTGTAAAAATTGCATCGAACGGGAATCGAGAAGGGCCTCATCGGAGGCAAAAATCGAGGAAAGCTGCGGCAGCGCCGCTAGACTTCGGCGGTGTTTTCTGGCCGATTGGCCGGTGGTTTGGCTCCGATTTGATCATAGACAGATTCAGCATCGAAAAACGAGCCAAGAGGAGAAAATTTACTTCGTTTGGCGGTCGAAAAATCCTCTAGTGCAGCAGCAGGTGGTGGCGGCCGGCTCCTCCGGTGAGTGGGTCTTCTTCTCCGGTGAGGGTACTGGCGGCTAGGGTTTGGGGTTGGGTGTGGGTGAGGTTATTTATAACCTTCTCCTTTTAATCTCAGCCGTCCATCGCGATTTAATATGAACCGTCCGATCGCGATTAAAATAGAAATAAATCTGGGCCGTCCATCGCGATGCGATCTGGGCCGTCCGTGTGTGATTCAATCTGGGCTGTCTGCACGCGTGAGATCTGGGCCGTCCGTGCGCGTGAAATCTGGGCCGTCTGCACGCGTGAGATCTGGATCGTTCGATAGCGTGCACGCGGATCGCCCACGTGACTCCGTCCCGCGTCAGCGTCCCTGCCACGTGGCGTGTCCTGGTTGGGCGGGGCTGCTGACGTGGCATAACGTTTCTAAATTACGTTTTGACCTCCGGTTTTCGATTTTCTTTTCAAAAACACCCCAGGATCCAAATTTTCACCCATTTTTTCCAAAATTATTTTCAATTAAATCCAAAAAATAATTTTAACCATTTTTATCATTATCATTATTTTTATTTCAATTAAATTAAATTAAATTAAATTAAATTACACCCTTATGAATAAATTATAAAATTTCAATAAAAATAATAAATAAGAGTTTGGGTGTTACAGGGATCCTCATTGGTTCTGATTTATAATCATCTCCATGTCTTTGCTATTACCCGAATATTTTTTTCGTTTAGAAACAGAAATTACGTGTGTTAAACGATGAACACTTCGAAAATAACTACAATACAAAGGTGGATAGATTTCATCTTTAATGCAAAGTTCATGTCACTGGGGTCACTGTGTGCCACCACACGCCCAACACGCGACTCCACGCGCTTAAACACACACCACATGCTGGACCACCATGCACCACTGCTAGAACTGTCGTTTACCGCTGTGACTCAATTGGCAACCACCACAGAACACCTTGTGCGTTCAAATCTGGCACAGATCTGGTGGAATCACGCCGAAAAATAACATGGACCAGCGGAATCACGCGATCAGCCACACACACAAGTCTTTTTCTCCGGGCATATCCACCATGGGTCACATTCTTTCCTAATCATGTGTCATGTCCACTTCATTTTCTAAATTCGTGTGGCCGTCAATCACGCAGATTCGAAAAAATAACATAAAAATATGAGACTTGAACCACTCCATATTCATGAAGAATTCATAAAATTAAATGTGATATCATCCTGATAGAATATCATATTAAACCCAATTCGATTGTACCAGAAGTTATTAAAATAACAATGGCTATGCATTTTTTTGAAAATTTTATTTTTATATAGAAGAGATCATAATAATGGTGATCCACTTCAATACATAAGATCTCTTAATATTTTATTTTATTGTTAAATATATTCCTCCATTAATAGTAGTCAATTGAAAACTTTGATTAACTAAAAATTTGTAGGTAGATGGAAATTAAAATACTTTAAATCTATTTAAAATATGATAAAACTTTGTATTTTAAATTTAATTACTTCTTAATCTAACATGAGGGTTAAAAAATAAATATTTTTTAAAATAAGCAAGAGTACTTAATTATTTATTTAATTTTACATATTTAATAATTTTAAAACATAAGTATATAATTTGAAATAAATATAAATGAGTATTAAATCATACTTTTTTAACAAGCTAATATAATATTATAATTCCCCTTCAAATTTGTTGTCATTATCTTAAAATATTTTAATATTTTAGATGTTCCAACATGATTCTTTTTTTTTCTTTTTTCGGTAATATGTAAAAAACTAAATAGATAAGATAAGCTGCTTTATTCCACTTTTAGAAATCCAGACAAAACTACATTCCTCAGAAAGGCAAATCATCTCTTTAAGATATCTTTTTAAGTTATAAAGTAAAATTTGTGTCCAGACAAACTGTGTATTTTTTAAAACTTATTATCAATTAATTTGGTATTAAAATTTTAAAACATTATTACAATAATAAATTATTTACAAAATTTATCTTGAAAATAAAAATCAAAATTCTAACATTAAGTTATTATTTTAGTCAATAATTATATTTTAATTATATTTTAAATATTTTTTATTTTTTAAACACAATATAATATATAAAAATGTGAACAAGTTAAAAATTAAAATGAATCTCTAATATAGAGAAAGAATGGAAATAATCATTAGGGTAAAAATTGTTAGCTTAATTTTTTTTATTGTAATTTATTCTTTGATTTCATAAAATTATTTTATTTTGTGAATTTTTATTACACTATTATTTTTATTTAAATAATTTTAATAAAATTTTAAAACAATAACAATTAAAATTGACTTTAAAAATTCAACAAAACTGATTAATTAATTTATTTAAGTTTAATAAGAATCATCTAAAAATTATATTTAAATGCAAATTTTCAAATTTAAGAAGTAAATTATGAAAAAAAATAAATATTTTATAAAATTAAAAAAATTAAATTGACAATTTATTTCTTAAAATATTGAAAAAGAAATATCCAGCTGTTGGTCTGGAAAAAAGAAATAAATGTCCACTTCCATTAATTATTTTTTATTAAAAAAATACTTTTAAATGACGTGGAAATTGCGAATTGGGAATTGTGATTCTACTCATGTACTGATCTATCAACAGTCAACAAGTCAAGTCACCTCTCCTTTGCAGCCAACATCACGCGCAGGTTGTGCCATCAATGGTTGAGGATCTCCTCGAAGAAAACGAAAGATTCGCTTTCATTTCTGCCTCATCTCTACCCCACTTCTTCTACTTCTACTGGTATTGTTCTTCAATCCACGAGATTAGTCACCAATTTCTTCCGGTCAACAACAACGGAATGGATAATCGGAAAACTTCTGGAGATTTCGACGGTGAAGGCGAATCGTTAGATCAGGAGGCAAAGAGGAATAATAGTAACGGAGATCAAGATGATGAGGAGCCGATGTCGGTTGAGAGGATATTTGAGAGTAGAGAGGTGCCGCCATGGAGGAATCAGCTGACGGTGAGAGCGGTTGTAGTGAGTATGGTGCTGAGCGTACTGTTTAGTTTCATCATCATGAAACTCAACCTTACGACTGGTATTATCCCCTCTCTCAATGTCTCTGCGGGTCTATTAGGCTTCTTCTTCGTCAAGACGTGGACGAAGCTCCTCCAGAAGTACGGCCGTTTGAGACAGCCTTTTACGCGGCAGGAGAACACTGTTATCCAGACATGCGTCGTCGCTTCCTCCGGCATCGCCTTCAGCGGTGTGTATCTCTCCTTGTCTCATTTTTCTTATCGTCTTTGCATTTATTTCTTTAGATATTTTATTAGATTCAAAATTTAATAACTCATCTAAAAAATAGGAAAAAAACTCAGCTCCTGAAATCAGATTTTATCAAAATTTTTAAACTGCAAGTTGTTTTTGGATATTTGCATTTTAAGAATTAAGATGACTAAAATTTTTAAAAAATTGTTCATTGATTTAATATTTTCAACATACATATATATAATTAATTTTAATATTAATAATTCATCGTCATGTCTTCCAGAAAAGAAAAATGAAATCCATTTTTATTTTTGAGCTAAATTGCTTTCAAAAAGAATGAAAACTCAAAATTTTATTGGAGTAACGTTTGGCAAGACTTGAACCGTGCTCAGAAAATGACAATTGACTGACCTCATGGTCTTGATCAAGAAATTAACAATTCATTTGGTAAAACTATTCTAGAGTCTTTCATTAAACAAATATTATTTGTGATGTAAAAATAGCTTTATTATATGTCTTCTTTGTTCTTAATTAATTTTAGAGATCCACTTGTTCATTTGCAATAATTTCTTAAAAGAGTTCTAATAATTAATTTATATAATTTAAGCACTTTAACTTTTATATAATCCACGAACTGGAACCAGTATGCGTCATTTTCTCATCTGGATTGGGCTCCACTAGGATAGTAGGAGAAGAGTAATCAGTTTTTAACCTTTTGATGAATGATGGCGACACAAGTAGTTACCTGGCAAAAAATTAATTTTAAGCAAACATTAAAAGTAAAAACAGAAACTTAATATTATGGAATTGCTATAAACAAATATGAACAAAATATTTTTTTGTCTTTTTTTCTGTATTTCAATTTATTTGCAATTGTTTGATTTCTCATACTTTTTGGCTCCTACTACTTATTAATGAAATATATTTTGGTGTTATTTCTTTTACTGTTTATTAGTTTTTGCTAATTTTTTACTTCAATAATAAAAGATCATGCTATACCATTGGCAGACAACTTTTTTAGCTTTAATGTATGCACAAATTATTTATACAGTGTACTTTTTTTTTTCTTTCTTTGATACAAATAATTTACCATTCAAATCCTGTAAAGAAATCAACATAATTGGTCTTCAAAAAACAATTTACTATCATAATAAATGTTGTAATTTATGTTTAGGACTGAATAACTTTTTCTTTTTTAGAAGATATTAGCTGACTTTAAAACTAACTTTAGATACACCTATTTCTTTTTAGACGACATTAACTGACTTTTACGAGATGAGTGATAGATGGGGGAAAAAAAGCATAAATAATCCTATTTGTAGAATAAAAAAACAGAATTAATGTTCTGTCACATAGACATTAATTCATCGTTGATTAATCAATGAAGTAAGGATCGAAAATCCAGCTAAAGAAGAAAATACAAGTAGGAGCCTCCTCCATGAGAACATAGTGATCAGAGGTTTCTGTGAAGTCTTCTTAAATAAGATGTTTGCAACCTGATTAAAAAATATAAGAGTGGAAAACAGAAAAAAGAAATTCCATTTGGCCGATTACAAATTTACTTCTCATCCCTACAAACATAACTTGGCCTATGCAATCCCTCCCTGAATTGGAACTTTTGCTCTCAATAGCCAGAAGCTTCAATGTGCCACAGCAGAATATTAGGGCTTCCAGTTTGGTTTTGTTTTTGATAAACAAGATCGGAAAGAATAAAAAAAACTAAACTGAGAGATTGCATGGGAGGGAAATCATGAAAATGAGCTGTGGGCTATTTTTGTCCTTTGACATATTTCTATAATGAGAACCTAGGGGAAGGACTGCATTGTACTTTCTCTAAATTAATAGATTCGGTTATAACTAAATCCCAAGCTTTGGAGTAACTGTGTACTTCACCAAAAAATGAAGTATTGTAGTAAGAGTTTTCTAAATAAAAAAGTTAAAACAAAGAGATTGAAAATTTTGTAGGTGGATTCGGGAGCTATCTGTTTGCAATGAGTGAAAGAGTGGCCAAGGAATCAGGGGACACAGTTCATGGATTCAAAAACCCAGACCTGGGATGGATAATTGGCTTTCTGTTTATTGTTAGCTTTCTTGGCCTCTGCTCGGTGGTGCCCCTCCGAAAGGTACACTCATTCAGCTTACCTTTTCTCTTGGCTCTTTGTAAATTCAATTATGGATTAATGTATAAATGGAACACAGGAAAGAATAACTTTGACTAATGTTACTCTTAATTAATGTTTATCACTCATATCTATAAGTTGATTAATTGGTTCAAGCTCACATGTTTTTATATGGTTGGTTATAGATAATGATCATAGACTTCAAACTGACTTATCCGAGTGGGACCGCAACTGCGCATCTTATTAACAGCTTTCACACACCTGAAGGAGCCAAGTTAGCAAAGTACGTCCCATAGCCTAACTGCATTAATTCATCTTGCTATTAGTCATATTTTTAGTTATTAATGCAAGCACAAAGTTTCAAGGCCATTCTAAATGTCTGCTCTCCTATAGGAAACAAGTGAGAGAGTTGAGCAAGTTCTTCTCCTTCAGCTTCCTGTGGGGTTTCTTCCAATGGTTCTTTACTGCTGGAGACAGCTGTGGTTTCGTGAACTTCCCTACGTTTGGACTCAAAGCACGTGAATACAAGTATGCAGAGTGTGCTTTTTTTAACTCTTCTGCACTTATCTCTGATATGAAACAACATTATCTTTACTGGTTTTTGCAAAAGATGCATTTTGCTTTATTTACTTTTTTGTTGATACCCTTGATGTTAAATTATTGGACCAGATTCAACTTCGATTTCTCTGCAACATATGTTGGAGTAGGCATGATCTGTCCCTATATCATTAACATATCAGTGTTGCTAGGAGGAATCTTATCTTGGGGCATAATGTGGCCTTTAATAGAAACTACAAAGGGAAAATGGTACCCTAGAGACCTTGGCCCCGGCAACATGCACGGCCTTCAGGCCTACAAGGCAAGTTCCAATCAAGCGTATTAATCCATAAGTATATGTCTACACATATATGTTTCTGATTAAAAGATGAACATCTTTGTTGATTCTAATCTTAATTTCTTACTTTGAGTTCAGGTATTTATTGCAATTGCAATGATTCTAGGTGACGGACTTTACAACTTCTGTAAGGTGCTAAGTCGAACTCTCTTTGCTTTGTTCCTTCAACTCCGAGGAAGAAACTGTGGCAGCAGATCCGGCCTCCCTGTTCAAGACGTTCCGTCAGCTGCAAGCCCCAAGTCCTCTTATGATGAGCAGCGACGCACTCATCTCTTTCTCAAAGATCAAATCCCATCATGGCTTGCCATGGGAGGTTATGTGGTAATTGCAATCATCTCTGTAGCTACTCTTCCGCAGATATTCGACCAACTGAAATGGTATTACATACTAGTCATTTATATATTTGCCCCCACCTTGGCCTTCTGCAATGCATATGGATGTGGCCTCACAGATTGGTCCCTGGCATCAACCTATGGGAAACTGGCAATCTTCATAATTGGGGCATGGGCCGGTGCTTCACATGGTGGCGTTCTTGCTGGCCTTGCAGCCTGTGGAGTCATGATGAACATTGTTTCCACAGCATCAGACCTGATGCAGGACTTCAAGACTGGGTATCTGACCCTTGCTTCGCCAAGGTCCATGTTCGTGAGCCAAGTGATTGGGACTGCAATGGGCTGTGTGATATCACCTTGTGTGTTCTGGCTCTTCTTCAAGGCTTTCGATGATATGGGACTTCCCAACAGTTCATATCCCGCACCCTTTGCCACAGTCTATCGTAACATGGCTAGACTGGGAGTGGAAGGTTTGGCATCTCTACCGAAAGATTGTCTTCTTCTCTGTTATGTGTTCTTCGGAGCAGCTGTTCTGATAAACCTGATTAAAGACAGCATAGGGAAGAAGTGGGCACGCTTCATTCCACTTCCAATGGCAATGGCAATACCCTTTTACATAGGCCCATATTTTGCCATTGACATGTGCGTCGGGAGCTTGATTCTGTTCATCTGGGAGAAGAGAAACAAGGTCAATGCAGAAGCATTTGGGCCTGCAGTGGCTTCTGGATTGATTTGTGGGGATGGGATATGGACTTTGCCCGGCTCTATACTTGCTCTTGTTGGAGTTAAGCCACCAATTTGCATGGGGTTTTTTTCAAGGGCAACGTCCGCTAGAATTGATAAATTATTGGGGTCATAGAACACACCATAGACGAGTATATAGTTCATTTGTATGTAAACTGATAATACTATAATCTATACCATGCATTTCGTCTATTATTCTTTTTTTCTATTCATCAGCCTTTTAGTAGATGACATTAAGGGTATGCAGAGTGAAATATCGTACTAATTAAAAAAAATATTAGGGGTTTGAAAAGATGGTTGTTTTGGGTAGACAACTGTGATTAATTAGGGTCGATAAAGATGGATTTTTGGAGAAAACAATAAGGTTGGGATTTTATTTATTTATTTATTTTTGGATGTTGCACCCACCAAAAGGAAGGATAAAGAGGAAATTATTTATTTTTGGATGAATTATTAGAGTGATTTACTTATTTATTATATTAAAATTTTAATTTAATTATTGAATTATAAAAAGTAATCAATTACTGAAAGAAACGCGGTAGCCAAAGTTAAGTCTTTTTTATATTTTACGGTTGGTTAATATTTTATTACTCAATATAAATCAAGTTCATAAACCTATACTCAGCTTACTGACGGGAGGAATTAAGAATTTTTTAGTGAAGATATATTACTAATTTACATGAACAATATGCTTATGTTACAATTGTAATACCCAAGTGTTATTATTTTTATTTTGTAATTATTTGAATTTCTTTTTAAATTTTAATTAATTTAATTTGATTTAATTTAATTTACTTTTATGAAAATAAAAATAATAATAATGATAAATTTGGTAAAATATTATTTGAATTTAATTGAAATTAATTTTAGAAAAAAAGGGTGAAAATTTGGATTCTGAGGGGTGTTTTTGAAAAAAAAATCAGAAACCGGAGGTCAAAACGCAATTTTAGAAAAGTTATGCCATGTCAGCACTACGTCAGCAGCCCGGTCAGCAGTCCCGGCCAACCAGGACGCTCCATGTGGGAAGGAAACGCTGACCAGGGAACAGGCCACGTGGGCGATCCGTGTGCGCGTGATCGGACGGCCCAGACCCGTTCCCGCTCGCAAGGACGGCCCAAATCAAATGTGCGCATGGACAGCCCAGATTCAATCAGGCACGGACGGCGCAGATTGCATCGCGATGGACGGCTCAGATTTGATCCCAATTAAATTGCGATCGAACGGTCCAGATTTAATCTTGATGGACGGTTGAGATTAAAAGGCAAAGGGTATAAATAACCCCACCCACACCTGATCACAAAAACCCTAGCCGCCAGTGCCTCGCCGGAGAAGAACCAGACGCTGGAGGAGCCGGCCGCTGCCACCCGCCGCCGCACTAGGGAAGTTTCCGACCGCCGATCGAGGTAAATTTTCTCCTCCTTACTCATTTTTCGATGCTGAGTCCGCCTATGACCAAACCGGAGCCAAACCACCGGCCAAACGGCCGGAAAACCCAACCGAAGCCCAACAGCGCCGCGGCGCCCCTCCTCGATTTTTGTCTCCGATGAGGCCCTTCCCGACTTCCGTTCGATGCAATTTTATACCACTGTAATCACCGTTCTTTTCTCTACAGGTTGATGAGAGCCAAACATCAAAACGCGACTCACGCCGGAGGAGCTTCCGCACCCGAGAGCACTGCCGCCGGTAAGTTTCGATTTTTCGTGATTTTTTGGCACACCGAGGGCCCTAGGGTTGTTTTATCGCAAGGACCGATGAAAGTGTGGCCGAATTCGGCCGAAAACGGCCAACCCGAGGCGAATCGCCGCCGCAAGCGGCGGCGGCGTCACCGGAACACAGCGGAGCCGCCGAGCTAGAATTGTGATATTGGCCGAAAGGGGCCCTAGGTCTGATTTGAGATTTTTTGGGACACATGCAGGTACCAGTAGTGCGTTTCAATTTCCCGAAAAAAAATTAAGGAAATTAGGAACAGACTGTAGGTGCACTGTAGAGTCGAATTCAGACCCCGAAATAGGTAAGGACCCCTCACCCTATTTCCTATCATGGTATTAAAGCTAAATAAATAATTAAACTATACTGTGTAATTTTATAGATGCATAATTGATTAAGGTTACCAATGGAGCCCGAGTCTGATACAGTGTTGGTCTATTATTGTTTGATTTAATTTTTAGTATTAAATGCAGTATGATGTTTAATGTAATTATGTTATGGTCTCGTATGCATGAATCATGGTTTCTTTTATTATGGTTTGTATTATGGTGAACCTGATACTGTGTTGTCTTATTTGGTGTCAATTACTGGTTTACATGTTTTGTATGATTGGATGATTGAGATTAAGGAAAAAGGCAAAAAGGTTATGTGAATTGATAAATGAATAATGTGGACAGCCTGACTAGATATTCTGCGAGATGGTGGACGGACCGGGTCCGTAGGAAACCCTACCAGGAACGTGGTCTCTCATACCGGACGGGGTATGGAGACCTTATGTGTTTTGGCGCCCATACCGGATGGGGTATGGGGACGACCCGTTTCACACTCATACCGGACGGGGTATTGAGGTTCATGGTTTTGGTGCCCATACCGGACGGGGTATGGCGACGGCTCTGAAATCAGGTCGTAAATGTTAATAGTTCACGTGTAGAGGGAATCCCATATGGATCTCCAAAGATACTAGTAGACTGGTAAAAGAGAAAATCTGTTTCCTGATGATTGAAATGTAAAGGTGTGATATATGTTATGTTATAAAGTGTATATGATTTCATGATATTATAAAGTTATTGTTTTCATATGTTATTTTCATGGATCTCGCCGAGGTAAGTTGACAGTAAAGGATTTTATTATTGATAAATGAATTTGTTATAAATTATGCTCCATTGGTCATTTTTATTTTTTACCCACCTTTACTTCCGTGGCGGTGAGATAGTGTGATGTCTTTACTGGGCTGGTGTAACTCATTTCTTATTTAACCATTTCAGATCAGGAAGATATTGTTCCCGAGCCCGTTCCGCAGGAAGACGGCGAAATGGACGCCTAAAGACTCCATAGCTATATTTATAGTTCTTATCTCGAACATCTCTTTTAGTTAGTTTGTTCTTTCATATTTTGAGTACGTTTTGGTTATTGTATAAGGAATGTTAATCAAAATTTTTATTACGCTTCTGCATTTGACATTTTTAATACATATATTTCATTTAAATTTCCGAGACCGTTACAACAATTGAGTTATCAATTCCTGGAAAGATAAAAAGAGTGCATCTTTATATCCAAGCTATATATATATATATATATACATTTTCTACATAAAGCCTAATTTCTCAGCAATTGTACATTTTCCACACAAGTAAGAGAAATTTATCCATACTGATTTCTAGGGTTTGAATAAGACACACATACCATAGTAGACAATAACGACGAACTGCACAGAGACTGAATTAGAAGGATAACCAACCACTGGATATGACAAATAGAGGAAAAAGAAGAATTTAAGAGAGAACAAAAAAGAATGACAATGAAGTCTGGAATTTTATATATAAACTATAATATAAAAGTACATATAAACTGTTGTAATATAGGCTAAAAGAAGAAAACCTTTGCAAAAGTTGGTAATATCTTTACATATCAAAAATTCATAGGCTTCAGATTTTACCGTTGTCTTATTGACTTGCAAAATTTGTTGAAGAAAGATTCAGGTGATGGCATTTATGCACCCATATTAATCCTACTCCTTCCACTGTTCTGCTTCCAACTCTAGTAGCCTCTAAGCAAGCAACGGATAAGATCACCAGATCTGAGATTATATTATATTACGAAGCCAATGGCTGGCTAATCACAAGTGTAAGCTCCTCTAGGAAATTATTAGCTGTATGGACAGCAAATAAATGCTTCAATCCTACTTTATATCACCATGTCAAACCGCCCAATCTTCATCACTTCCATTAGTGTCCTGTAAAAAATAAATTCAAATAGAATATAGGAAACCAGTCTGTGAGAAATATATTTCTTCACAGCAACCAGCGTTGCTGATTCCCAGCACCCACACATTCCTAAAAGAAATCTAACTAATTTAATAGTCATCACCAGACTCCTTATATTGCAATACTGCTTATGCTATATCTCCTTAAAATTGATCTCACCAATATAATTTCATTCATATATCTGCAAGACAAATGCATATATAAATATACAAGTTAAAAGGAAGCCGGACCTTCGGTGTGCTAGAGAATTCATCAATGTCATCATCGTCTTCTTCCTACAGCATTTATTTGGGATGTTAATCACTCATCAAAACAGATTCTTGCATACACCATGATAAGATCTATTCAAACAAGTAAAAAACCGAGTTTCATCTAACAAACAATTCAACTTAACACGTTAGGCATCTATTTAAATTAGTAATCTAAAGTGAATAGGAAAACGGGAAAAAAGAACTGGATGATAGGAGAAACAATACAAAACCAAAACTGTTAAACTCATGGAAAAGTCACCATAAAATGCTAAAATTAAAAAGACTATATTTTGTATAATAATCATAGAAAGTTCGCACTTTGTATGTGATGATTTTAAACCAATCTCACAGTTTTACAGGTTCCAGAGGCACTTGATTACACCTATAAAGTCATTGGTAATAGAACTTCCAGAAGATTCAACTGGAATACCACCTTTCCAGCTTTCCAGAAGATTCAACTGTATCCCAGTGTTAGGAGTTGAAAGCATAGAGTTATTTTCTGCGATGTAAAAGTTATTCCACATAAACTATTTAAATGCTACACATCTCAGTAGCATATAAATAAACATAGTCACAAGCTCCTTTCTTTAAGAATATGAATAAATTATTTAAACATACCATATCTTCATGGTATCAGTGGCCATAAAATCCAAACATGCTAGCTCACTTAAACTCAAACCCTAAAAAATCCTAATCCTTAAAGAAGAAGAAAAGGGAACAGGATCTGATTTGCATGCGTTCTATAATTAAACTCCTATATAAATCATACAATTCTTTTATTACAAGAGACTATTTTCAAAACTAATATCATTAGGATTTCTCACTATATATGGTAAATTATAAAAATATCCATTTAACTTCAACTTCATTACAACTTACTATCTCATTTTACAGTTACATAAAATACTCTCAACGTTATTATTACTTCCTGTTTGTGTTTATTCTGTCACAGAAAGGCTAAAAAAAATCAAGTCAATTTGTTCTTTTTGCTATTCTACCCTCACACAATCATTGCAAAGAAAGAGAAAAAGCTAGAGATGATTCAATATATGCGATGCAAAATAGAGTAGTTATAGATTATCTAAGTAGTTAAGAAATTATAATTTTATTAGATACAAAATTACCATACTATTTAGCGGTTTATTATTATAGTTTTAGTAATTTTAGTATTTTATTCTTATAATATTTAGTTTGTCTACTTGTATTAATGGTATTTCCTATTTTATTTACCTATTCTTATTATTATTAATTTCTTATCTTAGTAGGATTAGTATCTCCAGACTTATTAGTTTTAATATTTTTAGTTCAGTCCTATCTTTTTCCGCAAACTTCTTGGACTGTTGCATCCTTGCAACAGTCTATAGTAGACACTGGGTCATTGTCAAAAGTTCAAGGCAAGCCTCAATGTTTGACGAGGTGACGGTTCAAATATTGGGAACAGACAACATGCCTCCACTAAATGAGAGCATTTTCATTGTAGTTGTAGAAAAAAAGAAAGAAGAGGTGTTATACTGGAACCTTGCTCCAATTATAGCTCAACCATGATATCTAAGGGTAACAAACCACGTCAACCAACTAAGGAACCGAGTCAAATTGACTCTCCACTAATAGAAGGAGATAACAAGGATAATTTTTAGTGTACCTTCTGCAAGACGACAAATCATATAGTCAACCACAAAAAGATATGTTGGACGCTTCACAGAAAACTCACTACCTCAAGCAACGAATGAGGGTATTGAAATACTCCACGTAAGCCTTGCAGACGAACCATATAGTCAACCAGCATGAAGAGGAGAAACCCACTGATCTTAGTGAATTCCAAACTGAAATTGAATGTTTAAGAAGCAGGCTCAAGGACCTAGAAAAATGCACAGGTATAAGTTTGTTGGCGCACTCGGATATATTTTCTCTCTCACATGATTTAAATGCTTCAAAAGGACCACTCGAATGATCATGGATTATATACTCGGGCAAATATTTGAGTCAAGTCGGTCACTTGACAAAAACTTTTTAATGAGTCTAAACAGTATTTCTATTCCTAATACACCATTTGAGGCTTAGACCAATGAGAAATGGAAAAATGCTAGGAAAGTTGAAACACAACTTCTCGAGAAGAATCAAACATGGAAAATGATGGACTTACCTAAAAGGAAAAAACTAGTAGGGTCAAGTGGGTATTCCCTATAAAGTATAAATTTAATGGATTTATAGAGAGATACAAGGCAAGATTATTGGTCAAAGGATATACCCAAATTTTTGGGATCGATTACTAGAAGATCTTCAAACCAATGGCAAAAAGGAATTTGTATGCGTTCTATTCTTCGGCTGTAAATTTTAATTGACAATTATAACAATTTAATGTGAAAAATGTCTCACTGCATAGAGAATTCGAAGAAGAGATTTATATGAAAATCCCTCCAAGATTTACTAAGGATGCATAGGCAAATCAAGTGGATGAGCCAAAAAAGTCACTATACAGGCTCAAGCAATTCGGAGAGCACGGTTTGAAAGATTGACAAGAGTTATGTTAACTATGGATTACAAACAGAGTTAGGAGATAATACCCTATTTATTAAACATTCCAATTCAGGAGAATCACAACCCTCCAAGTGTATGTAGATGAGATAATTGTGACAGGTAATGATGAAACAGAGTAAAGAATGCT